CATGACCCAGCTCCCTTTCTGCTTGGGGATTTGCTCTCTGAGTGAGCGTCGTCCATAAAATCACGACTTTGAGTCGCTTACCTGGAGCATCTTGCCAGCACCTGAGCCCTTAGCAGCCAGGCTGCACAGCCCTCCTGCTCTGGGAATCAACATTTGCAGGATTGAGCTGGATCGAGACCTTCCAGCTGTGAATCCTGGCTCCTCTGTGACTTGGGGGCCGGGAGGGCATCCCACAGCCTCTCCATGCATCAGCTCCCTGCCTGTGAAGCAGGGGTGGGAAAGGCACATAATGGCAGAACTGGTGCTATTGTCTTTAGGGCATCCAGTCTGATTGTCAGAGCTTATCAAACCTCTCTACAGTGACGTATCATTGACAATCAGGATGGAGATGGGGATGGGGGTGATGGTGGTCATGGTGGTGGTGATGGTGGTGCTGATGGTGGTGATGATGATGGTGGTGATGGTGATGGTGGTGGTGATGGTGATGGTGGTGGTGGTGATGGTGATGGTGATGGTGGTGGTGGTGATGGTGGTGGTGGTGATGGTGATGGTGATGGTGGTGGTGGTGATGGTGGTGGTGATGGTGATGGTGGTGATGGTGGTGGTGGTGATGGTGATGATGATGGTGATGGTGATGGTGGTGGTGGTGGTGGTGATGGTGGTGGTGGTGGTGATGGTGATGGTGATGGTGGTGGTGGTGGTGGTGATGGTGATGGTGATGGTGGTGATGGTGATGGTGATGGTGGTGATGGTGATGGTGATGGTGGTGGTGATGATCTTGATGGTGGTGATGGTGCTGATAACAATGGTGACAACAGTGGTGATGATACCATGACAACTATAAAGCAGCATCAGCATCAGTTAGCAAAGCTAACTGCCTGGATGGATTTAAAGTGCCTAATATTTCGTTACTCATCTCTTTTTACCAACCACCCTAAGACACAGGGACAGGGACTTCAATGAGAAAACTGGGGCATGTGTTAGTAAATAACTGGGCCAAGGGCACCCACCAGGCATGTGGCCAGATTGGCATTCAGACCTCAGCAGCCATCCAGCCATCAGCATAGCCCCGTCTCCTTACAGTGCTGAGACTGACAGCCTGTCCCCCTCTGAGTACCCACGAGGCAACCCTGGAGCAGGGTGGGGCGTGCCTCATTCTGGCACCTCCTGCAAGGGCCCAGGCAGCTCAAATTGGATGAACTGAGGTCCAAAGACGCCTAACTGACTCACTTTCTCTGAATACAGCAATCACTCAAAGGCTGCAAAGCCAATGGCCATGAATCTCCACACCTAAGCTCAAAAGCAGAGGTTTAACTTGAGAAGGGAATGTCTGTGCAAGGAGCAAGTCTGGTTACATGGCTGATACCAAATCCTGCGTGGAAGGCACCTCACCGTGCATCACCTCAGATGCTGAGAAAGACCACAGCTCACATGGCCGTTTAGCCGTGGAGTAGAAGACACACTGTCTTATTCCTCACACTTCTACTCAACCCCTTGCTGACCAGAGGGTCAGAGGTTGTACATCGTGAGCCCCAGTGTATTTAGTTCAAGTCTCTCAGTTACAGTTTTGAAGGTTTAAATCACCCGGCAACTCTTGGCGCAGTACTGCCTGTTATGAAACAGCTACATCCATGCTCTCTGAAAGGAGCCAAATGTAAACTTCCCTCGCCCATAAACCATGGGAGCACCATCCGTGCATCTCAGATCTAATGGAGAGCAAAAGAGGGATTTGGTTTGTTTTGCAATAACCTGTGGGCAGCAGGGTTCTCATGAGATAGGCCATCTTCTCAGTACTGCAGAATAATCACATTAAGCCTGTGGCCTTAAAGACTGTGGCTTGGATAAGGACTCTGTGAAGCAGAGTGATGATGACAGCCCTCAGCCATGCCCCAGCCCTGGAAGATGCTCCTAGATGATGCCCCTAGAGGACTGATGCCCAGCGGGCAGGGCTCGCTCTACCCTGACAGCTGCCTGTGCTGGTGTTTTTAAAGCCAGGAGCAAAGAGAGTTTTCCAGGTCTTCCCCTGGAATCACCAGACATCTATGCACACACTCATGTGCACATGTGTGTGTGGTGTATACCTGCTGCTGTCACTGGGTATATATGGATACATGCATGCAATGTTCACATACAAATGCATGCAGAATCAGAGACAAACGTGAAAGAATCCAAGGTGCTTGTATGATGTGTGCACACACATGCTCATTCACATGTGTGCATGTGTGCACACATGCATACCAGTCTTCACATGTGTGTGTACATGTGTTTGCTGTACATTTGCAAATGCATACACATCGTATGCATGCACACACAGTGGTCACATACAAGTGCACACATATGCACTCATATGCACACATATACACAACCCAGCACACGCATGTCTGCCCTGCTGTTTGGTCTGCACCGTCCTCAGCTGCAAGAGGCTGTGGCTACCTTCCCCCCCCGCCCCCCGCCCCGCTGTCATTTCAAGGCTCTGCCAGCAGCTTCCTTCTCCCAGGGGGTCAATGGCCTGAAACCTTTGGGAACCAGAGTGAGCCGGAAAGAAACAGAAAAGAGGCTATTTCCACAAAGAGCTATCCCAGCTTTCACAAAGCACTTGAGCCCCTCAAGCCCAGCGTGTGAAGTCAGCCCACTGAGAGGCCACAGATTTCCACTCTCTGGGCAGCAGGGAAAGAATGGAGGACTCTGCTGGTAGAATAGCAGGATGACTAGGAGGGCGGCAAAGTGCCCGCTGCCCCTAGAGAGGGCCTGGCTGCACCCAGTAAGACCAGGTGCTTCTACAGCCTGCTCCCTCCCCAGGCAAGGGTCCCTCGGGGCACCAGGCAACGCTGAGCAGCAGCACCCTGTACTCATCCGGGACATGGGATCCCGCACCCAGAACTGGAGCTGAGACACAAGAGATGTTGGGGGGAGGATACCAGGAAATGAACTTGCGCTGTGGAGGTGGGGGGGACTCAGAGCTGGCTGGGGAAGGGAACAACACCCCAGGTCCTGGGGCAATGGGACCCCCAAGCCCAAAAAGGTGACATGGGAGGAACCAGAGCAGGATCCCAGCCCTCTTGTCAGCATCCCCCCACCCCCAGACCACAGACAGCCTCTTCTGTAGGAAGATGGCCTTCTGCCCTGGTGACCTTGACTTGCCCTTGAGGCTCTGGGCCCCATTTTCTGGAGGTGGGGAATCCTTCTTTAAGGAGATAGCTAGAGGTACCAGGGCCCAGGGAGCAGCGCCCCAAGAGGAAGTGAGGATGGACAACTCGAGAGGGCAGTGCCCTGCCCGGGAGCTGAGCACTCACAGGTCTGCAGCCACAGGGTGGGCTAAGCCGTGCTCTGCCCCACATCCTGCATCAAGCCCCTCAGTGCTGTCAAGTGGGTAAGTGCAGGAAGGTGACCCCATCTCTCTGAACTGCCCACACCCTTCCTGAGCCCCCCAGTCCTCTGGCCATGCAAGGCTGGCTCAGACCCGACCCCTGTCCTGTTCCCAGCTCTGGCATCTCTGGAGCTGGGGTGGGGCAGCCCCCCAGCCTCAAGAGCACTCTGTGCCTCGAAGGCCTAGGGAGAGTCAGGAGGACGCTCCTGAGCCCACCGCTGGGAGGCAGGGCCGCAGGCACGGGAACAGGGGACAGCAGGGCTTCCTGTCCTGACTGCAGCCAGGGTCCGATCCGGGAACACCTTCTGTTGAAGACCTGGGGATCTGGACAGGTGCCGCACGGGCCCTGCTGTGGGTGTCTAAGACCTCAGCTGGGACTCCAAGATCAGCTGGGAGCCATGCAGTGCCTGGCCAGGGCCTATGGGTGACTTCAGGTAGGCAGGAAGCAGGAAAGACAGGGGAAGAGGGGTATGACCAGACTAGGGGTCACCTTCTGTCCCTAGCCCTGTGATGGCATTGGGAGTCCCATGGTGGCCCCCACTTCCCAGCATGTAAAGAAGTTAGGGTGGCCATGCCCAGGGCTTCTGTGGCCTCAGCGGGACATGCAAATGCCCTTCCCAGCCCTGACCCACACTGCCACAGGGACATCCATGGGCCCGCGATGATGGGCCTGTGCAGGACACAGGCCCCAGAGAAGCCTGGCCGCTCGCTGCCAACCTTCATGGAGTCTGCAGCCTGGAGACAGAGGGACTGTGGACCCCCCTGGAGCTCAGAGCTGGCTAGGTTGGGGGCCTCCCCCTCCAGACCTAACAGGGCCTGGTGCCCCCAACAGCCGCCCAGGGAGCTGAGTGCCTCCATGCCAGCCTCTCTCCTGTCTCCAGGAGGGTGTGTGCCCTGGATGGGCTCTGCCAGACCCCCAGCCTCCATTCCGGGAACTAGAGAGAGCCCTTCCTGGTCCTCATCTCAGCCCGGGAAGTTTACATCTGTAATCCTGTGGAAAAGGATTCCTGTGGAATTCTAACAAATTCATCCCAATCTGCCTCTTGCACCACAACTCACAGCAAGAAGACACACTAAGGCATATTTACAGTCATGGGCAGCCACGGGGTCCTAAGCCCAGCCAGGATGAGAGCTGACCTGAGCAAAGTCCTTGACCAGGGCCCAGCCAGGTTTTAGTAATTTCTGAGGAAGGGCATGGCTCAGGGATGTGAGAGCAGGCGGGAAGTACGTGAGAACAGTGAGCTGGGCGGGGTGGGGGCCTGAGACCACCTCTGCGATACAGTGGGGATGGACATGCAGAGAGAGCCACCTGCATGACACAGCTGAGGTGGCATCTAATGTTTCAGGACCAGTGCTTCACTATGATGTGTGTGGTTTTGTGCCCTGGGAAGTCACAGCCTCTTATCTCGAGGCTAGATCCCAGCTGACAGTGGGGAGTGGTGGCTTCTTATCCTACCTGGCTCAACACGGCTTTTGGGAGTCACAGGGCAGGAAAACAGTGACTGTCACCTGGCTTCAAAGAGTACACTTCAGCACCTCCGCCAGCCCTGTGTACATCGCTTAGAGCCCATCGAGGGGATAAAGAAGGGGCCGGGCCAGCTCTGTACACATCAGTACACGGAGACAGCGCAGGTGTAGCTGAGCTGGAGACTACTGCCCTTTACTCAGGGATAGTCGTGCAGGGGTCCTCCACCCTGTCTGGGCTTGCCAGGGGTGGCGGCCCTGACAGGGGCTGCAGGAGAAGGGAAACCGCCCAGAACCGAGCTCTGCCGAGGCCACCACCCCCCCCCCCGCACTGTCCCCGGCCCCACTCTGCGTGCCGTGGACCAGGTCCTCCCAGTGCTGAGCCCGAGGAGTGAAGCCGGTCCTTCCCTCTCCGCCCGGAGCCTTCCACACGAGGCTCGTCACTTAGGAGGAACACGCAGTGACAGCCGTGCCCTGTGGAGTGTTGGGAGTTAAAACAACACGACCGTTCCAGTCTGCAAACATCTCCCTCCGCCAGGCAGATGCACGCTGAAACTCATGTCCTGATAAATTACTCTCCTCCCGGGCCTCACTGTTAGAGTGGGAGCAGCGCATTGATTTTTTTTTTTTTTAAATAATGTTTGTAGGCATGGCCTACAGGCAGGAAGTGACCCCTCAGGTTCCTATGTTGAAGCCAGAACCATGTCCTCGGGCTGAGACGCACAGGAGCCCAAGACAGTCCCTTGGCCTTTACAATGTCGCCTTGACCTCGGACTTCCAGCCCCAGCATCCTGAGGCACCCAGGCTGTGGTCAGAGGCCCTGAGGTAGAGCTTGAATGACGTCACAGCGGGCAGCAAGGTGGTATCACACGCTGGGGCTGCTGGGAGGACACCAGGTGACTCCAGGCCTCGAAAAGGTGCTCTGCGGAGCCGCAGGGGCTGCAAGCCTGGAGTGGCTCTTTCCAGGTTCTCAGCACCTCTAGGCGGTGCAGGACGGTACTTTCTCCCCAGCCCTGAGACCACGAGTCACCTCCGTTTCTGTTCACTTCGCACACTGCTGATCGCAGTCCTGCACACTCCTCTCCTCGGAGCTGACCCTTCCTGGCGGTCATTTGCCTCAAGGCCAGGTCTGAAGGGTCATTAAGACTGGGCACCACATCCGCCAGCTCTGGCACCACCGGTACCTGGTGCCCAGCCCGTGACCCCTGTTTGTCCTTAGCTACAGCATCTCTGGACACTGAGTTTCATCTTCAACAGCGGTGAGTACTTTCCTCTTTTCTGGTTCACGCTTTTTGTTCCTTGACTCAGGCTGTCCCCTTGTGAATGACATCCCTGTCTTCATAAGGGAGGCCACAGCAAGATGGAGAGAAGGTGCAGTCCACACAGCCGCCACTGGGCCCCGCCCTGCTGCCTGCAGGCCCGGGGGGAATAAACCCGGCTGTCACACCTTTCTCTGTGAGGAGCTGGGTCACGGCAGCCAGGACAGCCTGAGATGCGCATCCAGAACCGGAACGGCAGTCCATGGAGATGGACACTCCATGCTTGGCGCCGCTGCCAGGGATTTGGGAGAAACCTTGGGTGACGCTGAGAGGTGCGACGATTCTTTGGAGGCAAAGAAAATACTCTGAAATGGATTGTGGTGACAGTTTCCCAGCTCTACAGAGGCTCTGCAACCGGTAAAATGCACAGGTTAAATGGGTAGATACTACAGTACGTGAATTTTATCTCAATAAAGCTGCTATAATAAAAAAGAAAACAGTGTGCTACCTTCTCTCCTCTCTGGAAAGATGTCTGCATCCAGTCCTTAGTGCTGGTGACAGAGACCCTTCCTGCCCTGAGCTACCCTCCCTGCGTCCCGTATTCCCAGAACCCGCGACCCCAAAGCCTGGTCTCCTGCAAGCAGAATCCTCCAGGGCTTCCAGCACGTGGAGACCACCGTCTGCAGCTCCGGCGCAGGTCACAGTGAGGACAGAATGACAGTGGCGTTTCTTCCACAAGTGCCCGAACTGGAACCCAGAGCCCTCCGGCTTGGCCGCTGCAGGGCTGCCCTCCCGGCCTGGCCTCCCCACTACAGGTTTTCCCACTGCTCTTCCTGCCTCCTCCTGTCCCCAGCCACCAAACTGCTGTCCAGGGAAAGAGGGAGGAAGGGTGTCCCCGGCTGCTGGAAACCCCCAGGACAAGGTCACCTTTGGGGGTGAGCAGGAACCTCTAAAACCTGTCAAGCCAACAAAATGAAAAATTCCTTCCAAATAGGCACCTCGGAGTGGCTTCTCATGAGTTGCTCCAGGGTCAGCAGCCTCGAGAAAGAGCATGAGGTGGAATCCGGCCAGGGCTGGAGGTTTCAAGACAGGAAAGCCACGAGGAAGAGGCGGCGGGGAGGGCGCCCGGCCTCCCTGCAGGACACAGGGAAGGGGAGGTGGCCCCAACCCTGGCCACCACCCCCACTGCCTGTGCCCATTCCTCTGTCTCCATTCATCTCAGCTCCCGAGGAAGCACAAGGAGCCGGGGAGCCAGCCCTGGAGGTGGGGCCCGAAGGGGGCCAGGTGGCGCAGCCTGGCTCCGTGGGAACCTGATGCCCACTCCACACCGCCAAGGCTGTGCTTTGCTCTAAAGGCAGATGCCGCCCCCAAACCCGACCTGAGCTAAGAGGACGCAGGAACTAGGGGAGGGAGAGGGTGCCCGATGGACATGTGGGCAGAAGACGCCAGGGACAAGGGGCAGAGAGCAAGCTGGTACAGGGGAACGGGAGCAGAGCCAAGAGCCGCCGTCCTCTGCCCACAGGCCTCGTGGGGTGACCCCTCCCAGACGATGCCACGGAGCAGGGACTTGTGGGGCTAATGGCACAGCACCCCCACACCTCCCACCGTGCTGTCAAAGCACAGGTGGTGTGTGAGCCCTGGCGCACAAGGGCTCCCCACCTTGGAGCATCCAGAAACAGTTACCACAGACAGACACCTCGTCCACGGTGACCGGCCGGGAGGACGCCTCCTTCTCCTTCTCCATCCTGTCCACCCCGAATGGAACCTCCTAGAAGTCTCACTCATAGAAGTCGCACTATTATCTCGAAACAATCTTGGGAGCAAAGCTTGTGTGAGCATGGGCCCCGCATTGCCAGGGCCGGCGGACTCACCACAGAGCTTCCTACTCTGCGCCTGGCCTCCGACCCTGTACGACAGCAGCAAGCCTAGGGCAGCCCAGCCAGGGCCCAGCCATCCCTGAGGGAGCCCCCACCTGCACCAGAAACCCCACCCTCGGAGAATCCTCGATGACACTGGACCCGGCCCCCCATGGGGGGGGGGATCTCCCTCACCCACACCAGGGGCCCCAGGGCAGCGCCACCTGCTGTCAGCTGCCCCTCTGAGTGACGGACAGCAGCACAGAAGGGGCTCCAGCAGGTCTCAGCTCCCCTGGGGCCCCTGCACCTCCTCGTCCTGAGAGTTCCCTCAGGGGCCCACCCTCCTCAGCAGGTCAGGTCAGGAAGCAGCCCTGCTCCTCTGGGGAAATCTTGCTGGGGCCTGAAAGCGGGATGAGGGCAGGGTGTGCCATTCACACTGCTGTGAACAGAGGAAAGATGGGGCGGTGCCCAGCGCTTGTCCAGGAGCCCCACTGGAGGGCCACCCCCACCCCTACGGAGCAGGCTCCTCCTCACATCGCTCACTGTGCTGAGTTCCATGTGTGTCCCACCCCCACACTCCACATCCTGCCCACAGTGCACCCCGTGTGTGTGAGACAGTCTCCCCAGAACCCCGAGTTGGTTCTCACGTCAGGAGTGGGCTTCCTGTCCCTGTGCCACCGGGTCTCCAGGTGGGGGAGGGCGAGGGATCATGGGGCCAGCTGAGCTGCCTCTGGAGTGGACTCGGGATGCAGGAGGAGGCTCACCCCAGAGATGGCAAGGTCAGCTGTCCACCCACAGCTGCTACACAGGGACAGTCAGCTGCAGTCCCCGTGGGGATCACGCGACCAGTGTGGCCATACATCTCGGATGTTCAGGGCAAGTCCCCATCTCTCAGCCTGTTCTGTTTTATGTGCAGCTCAGAGATCACATGGATGGCTTACACTGGGGTCTTGTAAGACTGCCCATGTGAATCCATCTACACCTTGGGAAACACGCTGTTGGGGCGCTGGCTTCCACACTGGGTTTAAAGCTGATAATCTCTGCATGACCCTGATGGACATGACCCTCTTTGAATGGGAGGCCCCCGAGGAGCTGGAGTAGCTGGGCCAGGTTGCCCATGGACACAGCAGCAGAATGGCCCTGGAGCCGCCCATCTGGAAATGATGTCTGGGGTCCACCCTGGTGGGTCCTTCGGGAGGAGGCTGGACACTGCAAACTGAAGAGGAAATGTTCCGAAAACGAGAATGAAACCGCCTCTCCACCTCACACTCGTGCCGGAGCCTGATGGATGTTGGCCTTCAGATTTGGCGGAAAGTTTATGTAGAGCTTTCGGGGGAGGCGGGGGCCTGGGCCGTGCGAACAAATATTCCCCCAGCTGGTTTCCCTGACGCCGGGATCTGTAAATAACACTGCGCAATAATGAAAGTTATGAACCGACAGTTCTCACGGAGACCAAAAAATATTGGCAAATAAAAATGCTCGGTGCCCAGAATATAAACCGCACTCCTCCTGAGATTGATGTATGGAAACGCTTATCTCGGGGTCCCAGGGCGTGGCTGGGGGTCCAGTGGGGATGGGGGCGGGTGCACCCGGGAAACAGACCCGATCCAGCCTGGAGCCTCTGCCAGCTGAGCCCCCGTGTGCACACCAGGGCATTTAATTGCCCGTAGAAATGATTTGCGAGGCCTTTAACTTTTTTAATAAACTGGGGTGGGGGACAGAGTTCCACGGGGCATTGGCGTTTACCTTTCAAATTAACAAAAACAAGCCCGTGGTAAGGGTGGAGAACCAGCCTGGAGAGGAGCGGAAGGCAAGTGGGGAGATAGAGAGGGCGAGCTTCTTAGGAGTAAATTTCCCGCAAATGGAGACCCAAGTTTGTGGGGATCCTCTAGTCCCAAAGCCACCTAGACGCTGTGTCCATGTTTCCGGGTCATTTGTCTGCAGTGGGCCTTTCCAAGTGGCTGACTCACCCCTTTGAGGGACAGGAACTCAGGAGACGTGTGAGCACTGGCGGAAGGTGGGGCAGAGGGCTGCAGACACCCCCTGCACCCTTTCCTCTCCCATCTGCCCTCGACCCATCTGGAAGGAGGCCCAATTCTGTGGCCAGGAGCATAGTCCACGGCTTGCACACGGCTTCCTTTGGCCCAGGCACATAGCAGGTGCTCAATAAAGAGTGTGTTGAGATAGTTGTGCTCTGACTGCAGCCAGCGCCCTCTGAGGGGGTCACACTGGGCTTGTCTCATTATTTAAATTGTAAGTCCACTTCCTAGGAGAGGAAGGCAGGTCAGTCGGCCCAGCCTTCCACTCAGCCTGGCCCTCAGTAGCTGCATGGGATCCGGCCCCGCCCCACATGCTGAGCACCCAGAGGCACTGCACTCCCCCACCTCACCCCTGCAGGCTCCCCGCAGAGAGGCCTGTGAGCCCAGCTGGTCACCACCAGCAACCACCGAGGTGGGTGTGATTACTTCTGCTGTCTCTGCCCGGGGCTTCAGGCCCCACGCTGAGCAGCCACTGGACAGAAATGTCAGCTCCTAAATCAAAGACATACATCACCAGCTGCCCATATTAACACGTTTTATGGTGCTGTAAATGATTTTATGATAAATAGGAGCTGAGGGTGATGAGCCAGGTTGTACAATCCCCCTCATCCCTCTCGGCCCAGCCCCGACCCTCCGGGCGGCGTGGGATGACATTTAGTTACATGAAATTGCAGGCGAGCCTCTCTCCCAGGCTGTTTTCCCCACACAACATGAGCATTAACGCCCCTTCCGCAGCGCCGAGGCCTTGCTCAGCCACAGGGATGGACTCCGTGTCCCTGGGTCCCCCTCGGGTTCAGGAGGCTCCAGCTCATCTCAGAGAGCTGGAGGCCACATCTGGGCAGAGCAGGGATACATGTAGCCCAGCTTCAGATGACAGAAGGGGGAAAGGGAGCCTTGGAAACATGGACTGATCTGCACCCGGCTCGGAGAGCTGGGGACCCCAACATGCTTTCCGTGGGCAGAGCTTCCTGGAGCCAAACTTCTGGAAGGATCCTTCTGGATGGCAAAGAGCACCCTCAGAAAATGGCTCAGGCCAGGGCAGGACCCAGGGAGAGAGGGGGGAAGGGACGGGGAGAGGGCAGCTGAGGAGGTGCTGCGCACACCCTGGGGAGCCTCAACCTGGAGGCTTTGCCTCGCTGCAGGTCCAGGATGCTCGGCCTCCCCTAGAGAACCCACGCGGCCTCGGGACTGAGCCATGAGCCAGTCTCGAGCTCCAGGATCAGAGGCAGGCAAGGGCCCTGGGTTTACAGTAATCCCGTGAAACTTGGGCCTTCTGAGCACATGGATGAGCAGAGGGAAGGGAAAGAGTGGCTCTGGAAAATCTAAAGGAGGACAGCATTTCCCTGTCCGGAGAATCCCTGCATCCAGGAAAAGCACTTTTCCCAAGGCTCTGGGAAGATTCCTGAGCAGCAAAGGCAGCCGGTGACCTCTCCCCTCTTCCTCTCTGTGCCACGTCCTCCCAAACACATGAGAAAAGGGGTCTCCAGGGCTGAGGACCTCAAAAAGCAGCCAGCCTCGAGGAGGAGTGTGGAGCTCACCCTGGTGCAGGGGACAAGGTCACTGTGGCCATCGCCGATGGAAACTGGAGGAGGTAGCAGCCATAGGAGCTGTCCCCTCCCAGCGGCCCGCAGCCTTGGACCGCAGGTGTAGCCACCAGTGGGCCGCAGTGTGTTCTGAGGGGCCAGGCAGGGGAGACTCACAGACAGGAGCAAATCCCTGTGCTGGAGATGCACCCTAGACCCCAGCTCTGTGCTTGGAAGCAGCTCCGTCCCTGACCTCTCTTCGGACAGCAGGGAAACCTCGAACAGGGCTTGTTTAGGAGAGGAGCAACGGCAGGGGTCCAGGCAGCAGCTGGGCAGGGGGGCAGCGGGGCAGCTGGGAAGCCAACCCTCCCTCAGCGGGCTGCCAGGCGGTGAGGCCCCGGGCTCCTGTGGACTCTTTCTCCATCTCAACGGGCATCTCCTGCACAGGCAGGACGTGCTCAGCATATGCGGAGCAGAGGGAAGGGACAGCATCGCATCCCCAGAGCACTGGGCACAGGAGTCCCCAGGGAAGGCCGTCCATGAGCAGCAGAGATCTGACATAAACACATGCTCCCATCTCTCAGACGGTGCCTGCCTCCTCTCCTGCTAGAACACAAAACCCAAAAGCGTGCCAAAGAGGTCAGCCAGGGGGCAGAAGGCACAGCCTGGGCATCCTCTGAACCTACACAAGGGAAGCCACAGGAGCAGGAACGCTGGCCGCAGCAAAGATGCAAGTTGGGCAGATACAGACACCGTAGTGGTCAGTGCCCTACTCCAGGTCAGCCCCCTAGGGCAGTGTGCCTGCCTGCTTCCGGTCACCCAGATGTGGAGATTCCCAGACCCACCTAAAGCCTGGGGCCCCCACATGTCTGGGCTGAGTCCTGAGAACCTGCATTTCAAGGGTCCTGAATGATTTCAGGCCACCCAACCTCTGGTGTCCATGGCCTCAGTGCTGGCCACAGTGTATGCTGCTGGGGACCATTACTTCCCGGGCACTGATCTTCCTCTGCACCCCGGAAATCCAGCCAGGACAGGGTCTGGCCCCTGAGTGATGACCAGACTCCCACATCCACAAAGGCCAGGCTAAACCTGACTGGCTCCCATGCAGAGAAGGGGACAGGAGTGCCCCGTGGCACAGGGCACCCAGGTGAGCTTCCAGGAGAATCCAGGCAGCCTCAGGCCTCTGTGCTAAATGGATAGGTGTGGCCTGACCACACACAGTCAGCATGGTGACCATAGGGACAGCCACTCACCCTCCCTGGAGCACTGCAGCTTGGGTCTTCACTGCAGCAGAGCAGAGCCCCTGTGGGACTGCAGTCCTGGCAGCTCAGGGGCCTGTGTTCAAGCAGCCCCAGGAAGGCAGGTGCTGGAAGTATGCATTTCCTAACTCAACTCCTGACTCCTTAGCTTAAAGCAGGACAGGTCTAGTTTGGCTCAGGGTATCAGGGGTTCAGTCCATGGTCGGCTGACTTAGAAGCATCATGGTGGAAGAGTGTGGAGGACAAGGGGTGCTAATTCAGAAAGGCCAGGACGCAGAGCAGGGGACAGCACCAGAGAGAAGGGGCTGGAGACTGCGTATAGCACCCAAGATCATGTCTCCATGACCACCTAGAAGTGGCCCTCCAAGCGGCTGATCCTCCAAGCGGCTCCCAAGCCATTCAAGTTGATGCAACCTAGCTTAACTGCCAGAGTGTAAACCAAAATAAATACTCTGAGAGACAGAGAGAGGCAGCACCGCCCGACAGGACACTCACAGCCAGCAGCACTCACAGGACACTCTGAATCCCCGCTGTATGACTCACCAGGCAGCTCCATGATCTGACAGGGACAGCGGGACCCACCCACCAGTTGTCAGCTGACTCCTCCCACACAGAGAGGGTAAACTGAGGCCCAGAAGGGAGAAGGAGCTCCCCCTGGGGCAGATGGAAACTCCAGACGGGAGAGCCACATGTCACCCACATGGCCATCCAGCAGGTGCAGGAGGAGAGACCTGAGCTGCTCCTCAGACAGGCACATAGTCAGGCACACAGTCAGGACCAACAGGGACATGGATGACAATGGCAGGCACAGAAGGGATGGCGCTCAGCGGGAGAGAGTGGCCACGGGCTGGGGTGGCCAGTCTGAGCGGCTGAGCACCAACCTCCTCCCAGGAAGGACTGAGCCACAAAGCGCCCAGCTGTCCAGGCAGGCAGGAGGGCAGACCACGGGCTCCCTCACTGCACAGGGAGGCGGGGCGGTCCTCCCACAGGAGCAGACGCGGCACGGAGCCCTTCCTACCAGGGTGCCCCATCTCTGTGTGAAGCCCTGCAGCCCTCTTCTGGGTAGAAGCAGCCACGAAGCTTCTTGTGGCAGATGCTGAAGCCACAGGCTGGAAGAGGCCCCCTCCTCCTGGCCCCCTCAGCCTGGAGGGCAGAGCCCCACCACCAACCCGCAGGGTATCTGCTGTGACAGGGACATCCACGTACAGCAGAAGAGGGCACAGGGCACAGGGCACAGAGCAGCGCAGAACTATTCACTTAAAATCCTCAAACGGGAGCAGTGGACCGGTTACAAACCAAGGTGAGCATGGATCTCAGGCAGAGCTGGAGGGACACGACATGGGTAGGCACGGCTGAGACAAAGGCTGTCATTCAGACCTGGGCACTGCCAACATTGCCACAAAACGTGCGGAGCCAAGTTTCTGTTCCGAACACCGCAGTGCTTGTAGCCAATCACGGAGACCTGGCTTCCCAGCAAACGTGAGATCTGGGGACACATGACCCCCAGCATGAGCCTGGCAGCTGCCCAGAACTCCTGACCAGCAGGTGGCGTGATCAGCGAGTGTGATATTAGTGACACGGGTAGAACCGTGAAGAGCAGGGGGACAGACATGCACAGCCTGGCCGGACCCAACCCACGGGGTGGCGCGGGGGAAGAAGTCCATCTGAAGGACGGATCTTTATGGACCAAAAGAGGAAAAGTTATCTGAAACTTCCCGTCCCGCATCGCAGGTGACCTTTAAAAACCAGCCCCTTGTTGACTTGTTTTCTGTCAAAGCAGAAAGCTTACAATCACTCCTTTAAAAGCTAGAAAAACACTCAAAATACTCATCTGTTTTCCAACTCCGGATCTGTGGGGAGCCACATTCTCTTCCTATACTTCAAACACAACAGCACATTGTGACAGATTGGATCCGGATGTGGTTCTGAGAATCCAGCTGTCTTCACTGAGCAAACATTAAACACATTTCCTAAAAGGTAAAAAAGCAGGGGAGGGGAGCTTTATAAAATTATTCTTCTTAAAACTCGCTATGTAAGGTAACTGTAACTGAGCTTATTGCTGTTCTTAAGTGGATTAACAACTCATGAGTTTTCAATGTCTCCCAGCTTGTCTTTAATGAGGTAAATATCCACAGAGATAACCCACAGGAACAGAGCTCTCAGGGAACTCATTCCGTTTGAAGGACACTCCTGGTTTTTGAGAACACAAGGGCTGGGAACCCTGGCCTGAGGGAGGCGATCACATTGCTACTAGCACTAACTCAGGTGAGTGTCTTCCTCCTCCCCACCTGCACAACCTGAGCCCAAACCCCTCTCTCCACCTGCACTCCTCAGCCCCGCCCCCTCCCCACCTGCAAACTCAGCCCCGCCCCCTCCCCACCTGCACACCTCAGCTTCGCTCCCTCTCCCCACCTGCACATCTAAACCCCACCCACCTCTCCTCACCTGCACATCTGAGCCCCGCCCCCCTCTCCCCACCTGTATACCTGAGCCCAGCCCCCTCCTCCAGGCTGCACCTTCCAGTGGCCACCCAGTCATCCACCCAAGACCTGTGAATGTCTGAAAAGGTTTGGGAGCTCTGCTAATGATTCTCTTAAAATTTTTGTCTCTATAAACTTCTTTTAGGTAAAATTTAGAGTAAACCAGATAGACATACAGTCAACCTTCCATGAACATGGGTTCCACATCCATAGATTCAGTCAAATCCGGTTCCAAATTATTGGAAATTTTTTTCCAAAGTTTCAAAAGGCAAAACTTTAATCTGTCTCATGCCAAGCCTGTGCCGATTCCACAGGCCTAAAGTGACAGTGGAACACGGCAGCTGCGGGCATCCACGTGGGCCCTCAGTCTAAGGCTCCGGAAGTCAGAGCACCCAACATCCCGCCCCAGCCCTGCCCCTGCAGCGGGGCCCTGACAGCTGCAGCTGCGCTGAACACTCAGGGGCTTCTCTGCTTCATAAGCAGTAAGGAGAGTGACCTCTCCCCTCATGTCCACACGATCCCTGAGACCCTGGCATGGAGATGCTTCAGACCCGGCAGGGTGTGTGCTGCACCCCACAGGCACTGCTGCTCCACTTGAGGGAGCTCTGGGATGTCCTTGGAACGGGAGGGCGTAGGGACACAGCCCGACACCGGGCAACGGTCACAGCTGCTGTAACAAAAGTGCCACACCCTGAGCTTGCCACAGGAAAGGTATTTCTTGATGACCAAAAGATCAACAAGAATGGGCGGCCCTGGGCCATGAGCAGGTGACTGTCCCATCGGAAGCTCCCCAGCCCTCCGGTCACCTCCCATTAGCAGACCCAGTCACGCGGTCCCATACTCCCTGCAGTGGATGTGACAAATGTGGTCCTCCTGAGCAAATGGTCCCAGCACGCACTGCGGTCTCCAATATTCTCTTTGTTCCTTGTCTCACACAGAGAATGCCCCAAAGCCCCATCTGTGCCATCTCGAGGTGTCACTTAAGCCCAGGCTCTCCATATATCTCCCGAAGATCCTGGGGGCAGCCTGTGAAGCAGAAGAATCCAGTCTCTAACTCACACATCCCCGTGTCCCCGGGGGCAGTGGCAGGGTCAAGGTCAAACCGTGCTCTGAAAGCAGAAATCCAGAAATGAGCAGCTCCACCCAAGGGCCAGGAGACTGGTAAGTGTAAATCAGGTCACATCCCTGGCTGCTCAGAGACCAGGGCTCCCACCGCCCCCAGCCGACGTGGGCTTGGAAGCAGTGTGACAAGCAAGGACACACCTGTCTGCCTCGAGTGTTTGCACGGATCCAGGCAGAGGACCTCACCGCCCTCTGCACCTGCAGACTGGAGTCACAGGCTCGGCCTTGCCTGGGCTTCATCTCCCGGCAACCTGAAGCTCATGGTCAGCGCCCACTATGGACGGAGGGCAGGAGCCAGGGCACACGGTTCCTGGGGTCCTCAGAGACTGAGCATTGAGTGAATGAACAAAAAACAAAAGGGAACTTGGCCCCACCGGCACCTCCAGACCTTATGAGCCTCTTGGCCCCTCCCACAGGTACATTCTGCAGTCAGGGGGTCTGTGAGCACTGATGGAAAGGCTCTGGAAAGCCCGCTAGCAAAGGAAATGGCGAGAGCTTGGACAGCCCCATTTCCCAGATTGGCTGGAGCACACCCAGATTTAAACTCTGTTTTGCTTTGTGTTTTGAGACAATGTCTTGCAGTGTCACCTAGGCTGGCCTTGAACTTGTTATGTAGCCCAGGATGATGGAAAACTATTCTACCTGCATCCATCACCTAATTCTAGGGTCACAGGTGTGCGATTTTATTTTGTATTTTATTTTATTGCATTTTTTACTATTGGGTACATCTAGTCCCTCTGGGGCACTAGACTACATGGTCTGTTGCCGTCTTTCACCTGTAACATTCTCCTAAGCAGGCACTGAAGCAGTAGATTAGGGTTAGGGTCAGGGTTAGGCGGGGATGATCCCTCAGTCATGGCCAGGACACAGGCACAGAACAGCAGCCACGCCCCACACCTAGAACCAATCAGAGAATCCCAGCAGGAGAGCAGGATTTTGATAGGACAGCCTAGCCATGACATCAGAGGAGGGTATTAAAGTCACTAGCCGTCAGCTGGGCAGCCACTGCCTTCTCCGTGCAGGACACATTTCCTTTTCACCTGGTTCTTATTTCTTTTTGTATATCTCATGCCTTTAGCCATTGTAGAAAGCTCTGCATACGTTACTCATTCTGTCCAGTCTTTGAAAGGAAAATGAGAGCCTAGAAGGGACACTTGGCTGGGCATCTGTGACAGCCTGAGTGAAGCTGTGGGACACAGAGCCCTGACCTGTCTCTGGAGGTCACAGGCTGCACCTGAGCTGGAAGGACTGTGCTTTCCCACAGGAAGGAGGCAGGGTCCTTGTTTCCATAGTAGGTGGGCTAGGAGAGGGTCACAGCAGACCAGGGCATCCGTGATTTTCCCCTAAATCATCTTTACAAATTCACAGACACCTTCGATCAGCAGCCAGTCAGCAAGAGCTGGAGAGATCTGGTTGTGATCCAGGATCATAGCAGGGGTGGGGTCCTGAAGATGCACCTGCTCCCGAGGGAGGAGACAGGGCCCAAGCCGAGCTGGCCACACTCCTCAACCCCAGCCTATCTGTGTTCCAAAAACTGCTGAGCACCCAGGGCTCGGGGTGTCCTTGGGTGGGGTGTCCCTCCTCCCACCCAGCCATGCCTGCCCCAGCCTGGAATCTCCCTGCCCAAATGAGCTGGTGGGGGTCCCTAGCTCAGGCCCAGCCCATGGTCCCTTCTCCCCCAGCCTCTCTTAGTAGGGCCAGTCTGACTCTCTAGCAGCTTGGTTTGACCTCAGGCAGCTGACGTTCCCTCCTCTGCTCCATACCAGAGAGGACAATCCCAGAAACGCAAACGTGCCAGGCCCTCGGGAGCACAAGGCAGCTGCTGCACACAGTAGGGTAGCCTGGCACTATCCTGAGGAGGGCTGGTGCCCTCAGCCTGGCACAAACACAGCATCTATGTGCTAAGAGAACTACAAAGACTCGTCTTTCGCAGTGGCGTTGCTCCTGCCTGGCCGTCAGTTACGACTCCCTGCAGATACGTGGTGTCTCCCCATCACCATGAAGAACCAATATTCTCTCCAGTATATCGGCTGTCGGTCACCCAGGAGACGCAGAGCCCACAGGACACGCCTCTTGAGCTAGACTTGCACTCGCCAGCTGCACATCACGAGAGCCACAGAATGTGAGGGGGCAGCAGCCTGCTGGGATCTGGATCACCTAGCCACTGGGGATCGAGAGAGAGGCCTGGAGAGCATTGCCCCTCTGGTCCTCTTCCACCCACTCACAGCCATCAGGACTTCTTGTAGTCACCGAGTTTGAACCCAGAGTCCCTGTCTGTCCCTGCATACTGGTCTCTGGGGACGTCACCCAGGAATCTCTGGGGAAACCCGCCAAGCCTGTGGGCATGGACACTTCACACTGAAAACCTGAGGGCAGCTTCTGTCCATGGCTGGCTCCACAGTTGCCAGGCCGCACCTGTTCACCTGTGCCCCTGGGTTCCTCCCGCCCCCAATTCCTTGCTAAGTGTCTGGAATGAGGGAGCACGGGGCCACCTGGTGGAGGCAGAAGCACTGGTCTGTGATCCTCCATTCAAGAAGCTCACTGGGATAGTAAATGCCAGAGTGGCGAACTTTAAAGTCCAGGCATGGTTTACAGCGAGCACCACTTTCCATGAGAATTGGTCACTGATGACCCCCACTGCGGTCCAAAGAGGAGCCTTCGATGAGATCCAAACACCAGCTGAGGTGAGGAGCTGCCCCGGAGCCACTGCCATCACAGCAGAGAGAGGAGGACCCGTTCTCACCCAGGCCCCCGCCGCTGAGGCCTAAGGACAGGGCCACCAGCAAGAGGGTGGAGCCCAAGCCTGGGCCCAGGATCGTGTGGAGTCCTGAGGGTGGAGTCCTGCACTCGGGGCTGCTTCCCCACCCTGACCCTGGCGCCCCACACTGGGCTGAACTGGGTCCCCCAACTCCCCGCTCCAGGGACTCAGAATGTGGCCTTGTTTGGGAACAGGGTCTTTGAAGACAGGACTGGCTAACGAAGATGAGGTAACACTGAATTCACGCTGGCCCCCGCCCCAGACATGTGGTGCCCCTATAAGGAGACAGAGATGCAGGGTCAGGGCAGAGACACGTGTGCAGGGGGCTCGTGATGAGGGTGACACATCCACAGGCTGAGGAGGTGCAAGGACGGTCGGCCACCAGAAGCTGGAGAGAGGCAAAAACAGATGGACCCACGGAGGCCTGGAGGGGCCACACCCGCAGACACTGACCTCAGCTCTGGACCTCGGCTCCGGCTTCAGGCTGGGGAGGAGGCATCTTGGCTGTTTTCAGCTGTCCGGTTGGGCTTCCTCCTCATAGCAGCTGCAGAAGCTGACTCCCGGGCTCTCAGGGCTGCTTGTGCCCCCAAGGCAAGCCAAGCAAGGGTGCTCCAGGAGCCCCAGGGTCCTCCCCGTCTCATGTTACACCCGTCCACCTGCGCTCAGCCTGTGATCTCAGGCCCGAGCGATTCACAGCCACAAATGACATTTGGGAAATGTCTCTGAACCTTGACAGGCCAGCGATGCTCAGCCAGGGGCCAGAAAAACCACCACAGGAGGGCCTGCTGTTCTCCCCGTGGCCTCTGCTCTGGTCACCCACATGGGGTGGGACCCAGAAGCCAAGGATCCACAGAAGTCCCAGTACTGAGCCAGGACTCCCTTGCCCGTGGCAGCAGCTGAACTGAGTTAGCTGCCCTGATTTCCGGGGCCATGGGTGGGGTTCTGTGTCTCTGCTTCTTGCGCTGAGTCTTTGAAGGTCCCAGATCCTGGACAGGGTCCTCAGGTCAGCACTGCATCCTGCTGCCCTCGCTGGGTAGAGGGTCACTCCTCACTCCTTCATCCCTCCTGCTGGGGAGAGAGCTGCTGGACAGGGTGTGAGGCTGGGCATGGACACACGATGCCCACATGCCACCACCCTGGAATCAGAGCCAAGGAAACACCTCCAGGGGTTCACCCTGAAAGCCACAAAGTTAAGGCCAGCAGCAGTCATGGGGAGGACCACCTGGCCCGTGCCCTGCGAGGGAGGCACTCAGTGCCCTCACACCTGGCCCCTCAGCCCAGTGCTTCCCCTTAATTAATCACCCCAACAAGGCCACTGCCTAATTGGGCAGCTTTGATCAACAATTTCAGGGCCATCTGGATGCCAAAGCTCCATGAATGCCAGCCTGGCCGCCCCCAATATGTCACAGCTGCCTTTGTCCACAAGCACGCCAGGTCTGTGAGGTTCAGGGAGGAGGCAGTGCCTGAGCCAGGCTGCACATTGGCCTCAGGAGGAGGATCAGGTGACCAGACAATGCCCAGGGCTGCCCACTCCACTCCATCCTCAGAGAAAGTGTCCCTGGCACTGCAAGCTACACATGACTGAGCCTGACTGCAGCTGGCTTCTCGCCTTTCCCGTGCTGAGGTTCTGGGCTACACAGCCTCAGGGTCCCCCCTCTGTGGCACCTCTGGTCTAGAGGCCGTGGCCACTTCTTCCTGCCCCATGCAGAGGTGTAGGGTCCTCCTGTTCCTTCTTCATAGAGAGCCCCAAGGGAGCCCCAAGCCTCAGAAGAGAGGCCATGGCTCCCAAGCTGGTCCCCTTCCCAGGCCGTCCCTCATTCCCACAGGCTGGGAATCAGCTGTGCAGCTGGACGTATCCTCCTGAGACTGCAGTGGGCCACAGATGTGGGCACAAACTCAGATTCAGAACATCAGTCCCTGAAGTCAGCTGCAGGAAGCTGGAGGTCAAGTCCACTGGCAAGAAGATGCCTGGGTTCCATCACTCCCCTTGCGGGTGGCAGCCTGCAGGAGCTCAGGGTCGGGCTCACCCGGGCATCTGCAGGGCTCCTTTCTCGGCTGCTCTTCAGGTGAGGGATGCCAGCCTCGCTCACCTGAGCAGGACTTTACAGATGATCAAGTGGTGTCCCCATGCCCTGGAGACCTAAGA